TCATACACATTCACACACCGATGCACAGCATCAGGAGCAATTCAGCGTTCAGTATCTTGCTCAAGGATACTTCGACAGGACAGGAGTATCCGGGGATCGAACCAACAACCTTTCGATTAAGGGACGACCCGCTCCGAGCCACAGCCGCCCAGGACAAAATATATCTGCTGCCATCTACTGGTTCAAAGTTTTTTAAAAATTCCTAATGGGACATTATATTTGCATCAATAGGACATTACAACGACCCAGTCAAGAGGAAGCTGATTTTTTCACGGATCATTTGTTTCATGTACTACTGTCAGGATATAGTGAAAGCAAATAAAACTCCTATTTAAAGATGTTTTGTTTTGGTTTTTTTCTTAATGTTTTTGGTCAGACATTTACATTAAAATAATAGTTACGTTGTTACAGTTACATGAATGACATAAGTCTGTCCATTCCTTTCTTTTTTTCTTTATTAAATTATACTGTAGCTGATAATTTATCAGTCAATAATAATAACAATAACAATAATAATAATAATAATGTATTTTGAATGCTTATGCTAAATGTTTGATAGTCTGTCTATGAAAGCCACAAGTAGATTTGTAAAGTTTCTTGATTAACTTTTACTATAAAAAATATTTGAAGAAATATTTGTCAGAACTGTTGTTTGTTGTAATGTCAGTTAGATGGGATTAGACCAGAGCTATGAAATATGAAATTGCTTTTGCCTCTATTAGACAGAACAGCTGAAGATAAACAGAAAAGGGCTTACAGAGCCAGTGGATGACATGCAGCAAAGGGCCACATAGGGCAGCGCAAACCTCACTAGATGAGCCACAGGGGCGCCCCCTGTAACACCTTATTCAAGGAAGAAATGACTTTATCCCACATGTCCTCCAACATGTATCATTGTTTCTGTATTTAAGGCTAAACTGCTAATTCAGAAGGAGTCCAGTAGGATCTATTCAGTATTTTTTTTATTGGTTGTGACTGCATTTCACGAGACTATACCATGATGCAAAGAGTGTTTCCCAGTTATCTCCTGGGATCTCCCAATCCAGTTCCTTACCCAACTTATTTTGAGGCCATAGAATTTTGAAACTTTATGTCCTATAGTAAGTGAAGGTTCCTTAATTGCATATGCTTTTTATTTGAGAGAATGCAATGCCTAATTTGTAGAAATCTCCAAATTTCCAACGTTTTTCAAGAATCCACCAGGCGTGAATGAAAACAACCAATCACAGCAAAGGAAGGTAGTTGATTGTTGAGTTTTGTTGATGTTTTCCAGTCTTTCGACCACTCAACGCGCTGTACACTACATGCCACACTCACCCCATTCACACACATTCATACACTGCCATGCAGGGTGCCAACTAAATAACAGAGACTAATCATTTATGCACACTCATAGCAATTGGGGTTCAGTGTCTTGCTCTACCTCTGAGCCACAGCCACCCACAAAAACATGCTTTGTGACCCTGGGAATTTGACTCAGCAATCAACTATCTTCAAGCTTCCAACCCAAAGTGTCTTTTTTTTGGCTCTGATTGGTTGTTTTTGTTCAGGCCCAGTGGATTTTGCAAATGCTATTTGTATATGAGTAACAACGAGCCAGAGGAACCTGACTTTTTCAGATTATCTGTCTCATGTACTACAGTCAGGATAAAATAGGCACAGGAACCATTTCATTCCATTGTTTGTCCATTACATACACCTGTATTTATTGTTATTGTAAATAATTGAATAACCAAGTATATGATCGTGGTGTCTTTTGAACATTGGAAAATATTTATTATATATTTTTCAGGGAAAATTGAAATGATGTAACTCAAACTCAAAATCAAACCTAACTCAGAAATTATTAATGTGAATGGAAATTACGACAAATCAGGTAGTGTTTCTTGCTGACTACACTGCAACTCAACTGCAGCGTCTAATCAAATAACTGATATCCAATATATGGGTAATTTCAGTCAGTAAAAGACTTCGTCAAGGCTGCTCCAGTGTGTCCTCGCTCATAGCTCCTCAGAGAACGATCCTCGATCTATCAAGGAGTGAGGAAATATCAAATAAGAGTCTTGGGATATACTCTATGATTCTTATATTCAGGTGATCATACACCAATGAAAACATACCTATGAACATTACATTTTATTTCCAACAATGGAGCCTCCTAAATGTTAGAATTGACCTTTAAATAATGACACATTATGCAAATAGGCAATGTCTCATCACATATGTATTAATTTGCATATAAGTGGAAACCAAGTTTTGGTAATTAAGTTAAAGGAATTTAATCAACATTTTTGAATGGAATTATTTTTTCCACATGAAATGAAAATTGAAAAACCCACCTACCCAACACATGTCAGATCACCAAGAAGACAATGCCAAGTAAAGTTACATTTACAGTTTATTAATTTTATTTAAAAAAAAAAAGAAAAAGAAAAAGCAGCCAACAAAAAAAAAAAAAACAAATACAAAAGAGAAAAATCAAGTGTCAGAGCTGTTTCTGCAGAGTGCCAACACGGTTACTACTGTTCAGATTTATTCAAGCAACCTCAGACACACGTACACATTGTATGAAGGCTCCAGGACACCCGACAGCTGTGGAGCCAGCTGGAACCAGGCCTCAAGATCTGGTCCCATCAGTCCATCTTTTTTCTTCAGGTACAGCAGTAATTAACACTAAAGATGCTTATGGGTATGAATGGTTAAACCCCAAATAAGAGGATAGTTTGTGCATTTCAAATGCTGCAACCCAGCTATCACACCAGCCCAGTAAGAGACAGTTGCCGGTATGCAGCATCTAATACACAGTGTCCCAGATCCATACTGATATTAAACAGGTTTGTAGTATGTTGTGAGTTCACAACACAATTAAATTGAGTCGACAGACAGTATTCAGCCTAAATTGTTATTTTTGAAAGTGCCGTTGGTTCTGGTTGGTATTATTCTCCCACAACGCAAACGGATGAGCAGCTCAGAGCTGAAAAACATTACAATAAATTTGTGGGTGGTGGTGAGACAGCTCAACAATCTTGGAAAAACCAATCAAGTATTACACATTTGCAAAGTTTAACTGGCAGTAGCTTTCCAAAGTTCTAGTTTGTATGTTGTGTATGTTGTATGTATACTACGTACTAAGACAGCAGACTATAATGAGTATGCAGTACATATTGTGAAGATTGAGTATGTAGTATGGCACTGGGACACTGGGTATCACTTACTGCAGTCATCTCCATTATTTTACTAATTCTACTTGGTAACTCAACCCCCAAGAGACTGCTGTTGTAACTTCAGATCACAACCTGTTTTGCCTAAGTCTACTTCCTTGAAACTGGAGCACCACATTCACAACAACCATTTTGTGGTTATTTTTGGTCTGAACATGGTGCGTTTGGTGGACAGCTTTCATGACAGTTACATATAGTTTTTATTAACTGGTACACAAGTGTAGGACGCAGGATTTCTTGAGTATACAGAAATCCAAGACCCACATACCTACAGCTTCAACATAATCAAAAATAAGGAGAGACCAGTAGCTGGGTCATGTAATGACCATACACAGGGCCAAAGTGATGGAACAGTAATACTATGCAGACATGTCAACAGGGCCATTGCGTTGATGTTTATATGGATTTTGCACATGCACAGGACAAAAACCCAAAAGCAAAACCCAAGGAAATGTTGGACACAACCAGGCACGTCAAACAGGTTTTGTTGAGTGACTACATCACAATGAATCACCACGCCAATGCACTTTGAGCCCAAGAATGTGAAAACCTTTTAAATACTGTTAACATTCCAACAAGAAAATGACAAAAGAAAAACAAAATAGTCTTAAAATGTTGCTGCAGGGGAGCATCAAACTATTGTACAGACTCCCGGTCAAACAGTATAATCTGTCCTCTACTAAAGACACAAACTAAGACAGGGAGGGAGAGACACCTAACGCATCCTGTACTCTGACGTCTTCGACATCTCACACAGCTGACCCTTGAAGTCGATGTCTACGGTGAAGTCCAGGTCTCTCTGCAAACCAACAGCCACAGGTCAGACAATGTACACAGCAACCAGAGGCAGTGATGAAGACAAATACCATTGTTTAAGTCCCACCCAGTCAAAAATCTGTTTTTATGTGTTCTATAGTGTGATTTTTTTAATTATAATGCATGTCCAGAGTTAGACACCAGAAGGATGTTTTCACATTCAACTGCAAAACGTTTGTGCTCACTGAAAAGCTGATTTTAGGGATCCGGGCCTACAAGCATGATTTGTGACATCACAAATTCCAGTGCACAGACTGCATCTTAATACATGTCTGGAGGGGATCTTTAAAAATCACAAGTAGGAGAGGACTTGTTTGGAATACTGCAGCTCTACTTACGTTGTTCTTGACATTTGGCTTCATACTGATGGTGCCAAATATCTCCTCACCGGTCTTGACAGTCAGGTAATCGTCCAGGTAGAAGACAGTCTGCTTCCAGTGGGTGTAGGGAGACTCTGGGCCTGATACAAGGAAAGTAAAGTGTGTGAACACAGCCCGCTGCTGTTAAAACAATTTTGAGGTGTTAAGTTGAACCAATTCAAAGTCTGAAGCAGACCACCATCATAGACATTAAGAGCTAGAAAACAAAAAGTTCATGTTGATGTACAGCGTTTTCACAGTCAGTGTTAATTTAACGCCTGTTTTACTGAGACATTCACCTATTGCTGCAGTCAGCTCCTAAATAGCCACCACTCATTGTTTGAGCGAAGGACAGCTCATCCCCACAGTTCAATGTTTAGGATTATGGACAATGTCATAATCATACATCAGCCAACACAGGTATAAGTACAATATACTGAACTACTGTAGCTCTTGTATGTAGCCACACACTTCTGTAGCCTCAGCCTATTAACATGTGAGTAAAGTTTGTGTGTTTACAGTAGGGGTGGGTAAAAATAGATACGGCAATATATCGCGATACTCCGCGAGTATACATATCGATTTGTCACTCCCAAAAAGATAGATTTTTTTAAAGAATAATGATTCATGCTTAGACTCGTTGTGAATACAGTACGACTTCCGTACTCCCCACTCCGGTAGATGGCGCCGAAGAGCGTTACTGCTGGCCTGTGCGGCGCGATGTATTATTCTGTATTAGACAGTGGCTGAGGACTTTCAAAATGGCTATCAAAACTAATACACTCGCAGTTTTAAAGCCGACGTTTGGGAAGCACTTTGGCTTCTCCATGTTAAAAAAAAGATAGTCAGAA